GCAGAGTAGATATGGGAGACACTCCCCATTATATTACTCTTGATAATTATGTCCTGATCGTGCTAATTTTTTATGCTGAAAATAAATGTTTGAAAGATGTGAAATGTCTGAAGCATGCTGGCGCGCGGACGGACGGACGGACGGACGGATGTACGACGACCCATGGCAATAGCTCAGCTTGACGATGTCAAGGTGAGCTAAACATGGAGAAGGCAACAGAGACGCCAATGTTATGCATGTAGATATCTCCACGAGTATATAAAAGTATAATCTAGCAAGAGGATTGCCGCCTACTAACTACTTATTCCTTACAACAATACCAACCACATTAAGCAGCCTGCAACGCTCCCCTTAGATGGAGAATGCATGCCTGCACAGAAGCAGCTATATATATATACAAGCATCTCTCACAATTCACCACTACCTATGGCCCACTATCAGAAGATCATAAATAGTACTGACATCATATGTATACATGATCTGATCATCATATGATGTCAGAATCCTTTATGCGAAGTGCCGTGCAAAAGTTATAACATATTAGACTTAAGATATGTCATAACTACTAATGACGTTTATGACAACGGGCCTCTGTTGGTCAGATACTCGAGCTGAAGCTAGTGTCAAGTCAAGACGAGAAAGCCTGAAGGCATGAGGCCGCAGACTTGCGATAGTCACCTTTTATCACAGAATCATTGCAGTACTGCTCATGGAACCACGGCACGCCATACTCCGGGTAGTCAAGACACACAATGCGGTTCAACTGCATTAGTTTGCTCCTCAGACGATTCGTAAAGGCCAAAGACCTGCTCTCTGCCATATAGAAAATGATCGCCTACAGTCAAAGTTACACTTCTAAATCATCTTTAATAAACGATGATATTGACGCCTGCTCTTGTGCTGTTTCCAGACCTGATATAGCAGACTAATTGACGTCGAATTCCGTCTTCCACATGGTCTTTTGGATGCTGAAGAAGTACCATTACGAGAATACAAGATTACATAGCTTTATTGAGCACACAATATTATATAACATATTGCTTTGAGGCAGCTCTTTACTTAAGAGTTGCCAGCACGTAAGGTGTGCACATCTCACACTAAAAACGCCCAGGCTGCAAATGAGTGAGAAATACCTTCTATTTCCCTGTCGATGGCCTCCAGAAATTCGAGCTGGAAGATGGAATCGACGACAGACTTCGACAGGCTCTGGAACAGGCTCAGTGACAGTGCAGCATTTAAGATATCTGTCGTGGTCAGCTGGCCTGTGTTCGCCAGCAGCACCTCAGAGAACATGGCGAGAGCCTCGTGGCTTGGCGTTGTGTTTGTGAGATAGCAAGCGTACAGCACCATTGTAAATGCACGACCGATTTCCGTTCGGTTCTCGGCCACGCAGCGACACAGCCTGGTTGCAAGCTCTGGCGTGTGGTAACGAGTCTTGAGGATCAGCCTAATAGGAGAACAGCACAATGTTATTAGCTGGTAGTTCCTATTTGGTAGTATCTAGCTTGCACACGCATAGAAAAACCTTGCCGTTATAAGATGAGCTAATCTTTGTTGCGCTCTTACAGACTTTTTTGACAGTTGAAGTCATGCAAACTTAGTTAATTGCAAAATGCTTAGCCTGACTGATAAGTTTTACAACTCACCTAATTGTAATAGCTTTAGAGTCATCTAGCTGACTGTATAGAGTTTACTGATACATTTGACTGTAACGAATTTACACTTACAAATACATACGTCTGTATTGAGTTTACAGATACATGTGTCTGTATTGAGTGTACAGATACACGTGTTTGTATTGAGTTTACAGATACGTGTCTGCATTGAGCTTACAGATACACACGTCTGTATTGAGTTTACAGATACACGTGTTTGTATTGAGTTTACAGATACACGTGTTTGTATTGAGTTTACAGATACACAGTCTGTGTTGAGTTTACAGATACAACTGACTGGTATGAGCCTATAGACTTGTCTATCTATGATGAGCGTACAGACTCATTAGGCTATGATAAGCTTATAGTCTGACCTGGCTGTGGTGAGCATGTGATGCGGTTGAAAGTCATCGAGGAATCTCGAGTATTGGTCCATAAGTTCGCACAGCAGGTTGTCATCGACGTCTTGGTTGTGCAGCACCACCTGTGACAGCGTTTGGTTCAGCGTGGACAAGCTTTCGATGTGGCTGAGCTGCTGGAGCAAGCTTCTGTGTAGCAGACGACTCACAATGGAGAGCTGACTCAGTAGCAGGCGACTCTGCGAACGCACGCGGTGCACCGTTTCGAAACCTGCACACCGATTTACCATTATTGTCAACATCATCATCATAGTCATCATAAGATTTAACCTTGTGGTACAAGCTTGTAAATTATATATATATATATATATGTAATATATAATATATATTATGTAAATGAGTGCAACCAATCACTGGTGTCTAATTCTCTAAGTAATGTACCAGAATAGTAATACATCAGTATTAGTAGAGTAATGGCAGTATAAACATTTATGATTGAGTGAACATTCCTCATTTTGCTTATTTCCATATTAATGATTATTATTGATAATAACAAACGAAATATATTAACAATAATATATTGATCATTTTAATTTGCAACACAATAGTGGTATTTCAGTCTTCAAAATGAAAACACTGTAAGAGCTTTTTAAATGATTGCCCGAAAGCTTTGGCAGCATGATCGATTGCTTTGGAATTTTCTCCTACCTGAAACAATGTAGCCAATCTGCCGCACATTGAACTGATAAGCCATAGCAGCTATTCGTTCCAGTATGACCTCAGGCAAAGGACCTATGTTCAATGTTATCATGTACTGTGCTATCATTGCCACGGACCAAGGTTGCAACCCTGCAAACAAATCCATGATAATGTGGCAGACACACAAGTAATAATATTAAGAAATCATTATAGAAAAAGTGTGAGAAGCAAGAAAACAGATTAAGAAGCAATGAGTAAAGATAATGTGTATTAATGGTAGAGAACCAATTGGTAAACCAATATATCAATATATGCAAGCAAGGAATAATATATTATTAGAGTTAATTAATGAGTAAAAACAAAAAAACGAAAAGCAATTATGATCATATACCATGCAACAATTTCTCTGCCATATCATCAGCTCTACAAGAACTCTCTATTCATGTATTCCTGACATGTTTCACATCTATGATAATTATTTGCCCTCATGTTTACCTAGTTTTCTTTTTAGTTGAGGCACCAGTAGATCATGTAGGACAATTTCCAGCTCTCTGTTTCGATAAAGATGAGGCCACTTTGACAGATGCACAAAGCAGTTGCAAAGTCTCGTGAGATGCTTATCCGGAATTTCATAATTGTTGATTGGAGATTGGTCCGTGACTAGTTTTATTATCTACAATTAAACTAAATAATTAATTTTATCTACATACCATATGCCCAGTAACTGGTACACACATCTAATATTATGGCAATTGCTATATGCACTTCAAAATACAATTATGATATCTCATCACTAACACCACTTTAAAGGGGTTTAGATCTGTCACGAAGATGACTTTGAAACTGCCCTTAACTTATTCTGTTTACGATAACAAAAGACTAATTAATTTAAGTTCATTTAAAACAATGATAAATTTGTGCAAATAACCCCAAATGAAGCTTTGCTAAAATACCTGTTCACACAAGTCATCTAGAACCTTTTCGCTTGATATCTGTAGATCTGTAATCACGCCTGCGATTCGGATAAGAACTGGCATCTTGAACTCTGGGATGTTTCTTGATCAAAAAGTAAAAGACTTGTTTTCCCATAATCTTCCTTATAAATAGTAATATTATGTACTTTTAATGATACCAACATGAGAAATCGTTAACCAGAATCTTCTTAATAAGCTTTCTTAAAATATTACTAGGTATGATGCAAATGACACTAAACCCCTCTTACTGAGCAATCACTGTAGATAGCATGCAGATGGTCTACGAACTCAACAAACAATGAAGCATAATTGCTAAATGTCACAAAGCCTTGCCAAAGTGACTCGTCGTCGGTCACCTGAGCAGCAGTTGTTCGACGCGTGCGTGTGTCTCTGCGTGCTTGGAGCGTGTCAGTGCTGGTAGCAGACTGACGCTCTCGAGCGGCGAGCAGCAGCGATCGAGCAGCACCACCGCGCGCTCGCTCAGCTCGTCCACCAGCTCCCTCTGCAGGAGGCCCTGCTCCCTGAACATGACGCCGACGCGCGACAGCGCCACCGAGCTCACCGAGTCGACGTTAGCCAGCAGGAAGCGGAGCACCTCGTTGCTGACCTGCGTGTCGACGCTGGCCATCGACTGACCGATGTCCAGACAGCGCAGAACGGTGAACAGCGGCGCCGAGCGGTTCTCGACGTACGGCCACACACGGCGAAGGAAGCGCGCCTTCAAGCCATCGGATGCGGTTACGTGAGCGTTCTCCAGGCAGACGGCGTAGAGAAACAGGTCGTTGGCGTCCGCCGCGGCGAGCTGTCGATTCACGACATCTGCAACCTGACCGAGGAGGTGCAGAGGAGCAACGTCGAACTCTGATAAAGCTACCGAGTACCTAAATACATAATTACACAGGTTTAGGAGCTTGAGTGTTACCGAAAAAAAAAATTGGATAGCACGGTATGTCTTAATATCATGGATATATTATTTTTACCAAACGTAAATAAAAATTCTTAGGACATCAACAGTACAGGGGAAAAATTTCTTTTTTTCACGGGAGCTCTTTTTCAAGCCTGTGGGAAAAATAGCTCTCGTCAAAAATTTTACGGGAGCCATTTTGAGCCTCACGGGAGCGATTTCGGAGATTTGAAGAGCGAATCGCTCATCGCTCCCGTCTATTTTTTACCCTGTAACAGTAGGATTTCTATTCAAAATGTCATGTCTCACATTATATATGAATATAAAGTAAATAAAATTGCAATTGCCATTAATTCCAAAATAACAACAATATAAATAAACCAGGTAGGAGTAAAAAACTTCAAAATTAATTATTTAATTATAGGATCTGTAAGACGACTAGCTATATATTATGCGAATGGTTACAGACAGGTGCTAATAAATACATAATTTTGCCTTAAAGGCTCAAAATGCGCATCCAAACGCTAATTTCTCCAGTACTAGACTAGCAAATACTTCGTGTCATGCATAATCACACTACTTATGACAAAATAAACTCTAGTTGCTCCATTTCACTGCGCGTTTGCTTAAAACCACAAGAAAGAGGTGAGAAAACTGGCATTCTGGCGCAAACGCCGACTGTTTGCCAAACAAAATAGCCTCGAAGTGGTGACGTGACATCACGTTTTTATCTTTGCTGCGCCCGTACCGCTGTACCGCAGCACCGCTGCATGGTTGCTTGGGGATTAGGGAAACTGTCAACAACATTGGAGTATTTTCAAAATACCTTTTATAAGCAACGCGCAGTGAAATGGGAGGAACTAGAGTTTATTTTGCCATAAGGTAGTATGATATGCATGACACGTAGTAATTTGCTAGTCTAGTACTGGGGAAATTAGCGTTTGGATGCGCATTGTGAGCCTTTAACAATTTTAATACCTAGACAGAACATTAGGCTCCATGGTAAGGCATCGTGACTGACACTCCATTAGCAAGCTTCTAACTAAAGTTGATGATTGTTCTGCACCAATCTTGAGTAGGTACATCAATAAGCAAACAAGTCCTTTATCATCCATATAGGAGGACTGACTCTCTAATCTTTCACACAATTCGGAGAACATGGGGTTTGCTGAAAAAAAATTACATTATATTTTGCATCAACGCTGATTCTAGCCTTAATTAAATAGCTAGTGCTAAAGAATGATACACCAGAAAGCTTATTTATTGATCTTTTTGGTATATTCTAAATAGATATGTATATCTATTTATGACATCTCATATGCCTAAATAAAAATAATTTGCTGGTAAACAAAAATATTCACAATCGTCATTTACATGGAGTATAGAAATCTATTTTGCTTGCATATAGATAGTAAGATATATAATAATGCAGTCACATATGATATTATGCAGAAGACCCACACAAAATAGCTTGGCAATGCATCTCTACCATGTCCTCAGCATAACTTCCATAGACCTTCTGTAGTTCCCACAGGTTTGTAACAGCTTGGCATAGATGACGACTACTCAGTACATGCCAGTTATTTTTAAGAACCTATTAAAGAAAAATGACAATATTTACATGCACCTTTATAGTAGAAACTAGAAATATATAATAATATATATATATATATATATATATATATATATGAACAATGTTTAAGGCAAGTCTGATTCTAGATTTTTACCAAACATGCAGGTGCTCATGGAGAGTATTAAAATAATTGACATATACATAGCATTAGGTAACAATTCATACATTCACTACTATTGAATATCATCCACAAAGAATCTCCACAGAGGGAACACAATGTTCAATGTAACGTGATTAACACGAACCAATTCTCAAAACTGAACATGGGTTTTTATTGTAAATATATCTTTATGTTTAAAGATACATGCAAACCTTGTATATGTCTTCAACCGAACATGCACAATTGATTTTCTGAAGGAGAAGATCTTCATCATCTGGATACAGCTTTGAAGTTTCCAATTCAGTGCTATCTTCAAAGTTGGACCCCAACAATTGTGTCTCTGAGACGGAACGTGAATCGCCTCTATACTCCTTTCCATGAATTATTTCACAGAAATGGTTACATTGCACATGGAGTTGCTTTAGATATCGGTTGGAACACCAACTTCTATATAGCAAAGGTTTACACTGATGCATATGGTATATGTTTCTTCTATTATTGTTGATCACACAGTCCATGTGCATGCCCTTGCAGAGCCAACCACTTCCAGTGAGTGCATTGTTAGAAACAGTCGGAAATGATGGGTAGGGTGGATAAACCATCAGTTTCCTGAAGTTTCTTTTGCATACATATACGTATGGCTGCCACCCTTTAAGAAGCTCCATCATCTTTTTCACAGTGGACTACTGAAACAAAAATGGCAATAAATCCATCATGTGGGAGTGTTGAGAGATCAGATGAGTGAGTAAGTGATAGACTAGTAGAGTGATTGTCATATATAGTGACCACATGCACTTGGACCACTTCAGGGAATAAACTCAGAATGATACTAAAGCCAACTGTTTGTGTACTCCTAATAGCTGTAATACATTCTGATGGACTAATACAGTACCTACTCATTGCACCACAGCATTCACTGCCACTTGCTGCACAGTTATCCTATAGTTCATAAATAAGCAGTTAAAAAAGCCACATGTCCAGACTTTACCACCGGTAGAGACATCACAACACTTGGCTTTTTTGCTGCCTTATTAGGTAGCAAATAGGGCAACAATTGTGCAGCGAGCAAAGGTGGCGCTGTGAAACAGTACAACTTATTATAGCACTACCTATATGTAACCCTTTATTCCACCACACAGCTATACAAGATTATATAAAGGAACCTAGTGAAGAATCGTTGAAGCATGCCAGGTTATGATGTAGCCTGTGGTACAATATAAAATGACCACTAGCGGGCAAATGTGTTAGGTTTAGTCCGTCGCACTAAAGCCAAACTGAAGTCCTGATAATTATGTCGAATGCATTTATTTATTGAATGCAAACAATCACACAATTAAGCAATTAAAATTCACAGCCATATGTTTTAATATAGTACGTGGTGCTGATAGCGATCAAGTAATCACTGTGCAATTTCTCACAAGGCTCACTTTCGCAACCATACATAGGTCACAGGGTTCTCCCCAGGATGAAATTGAAACAGGGGGAGGGGGAGGGGGGAGGGGGAGGGAGAGGGGGGAGGGGAAACTAGGAGGGGGGGGCGTGTTTTTACCGTAATGCGTAAAATCGCCACCACACCATAGACAGCATTTGGGGTACTTGTATATAAGACAGCCGAGTCGGTACAGTTTGTGTTAAGGTTTGGGACAGGGTGGCTGTTTGTACTTGTGTGGTCTGCACTGCATGCGTAGTGTAGGACGTTTACTCATTAGTGGTACCGTAAAAATACACCCGTAAAAGGTGGCGGGCCTGGTCGAATGGGAATTCTTGACGATCGATTCCCGCGCTGTCAAACTTTTATTGTGGTGGAATTTAATCGGGCTGGAGGTAATTTAAACCGGGCGC